CAGCTCAAAAAAAATGTATAGTGTTGTATTAAAGAAATACTTGATTTATCTTATTTGATCCAAATCGAGAACAATTGTTGCACATTAAATGGACATATATTTACAGTATTTTTTTTGAGGTAAATTTCGCTGTTCAAACTCTTAGCACCAGTGTTGCAAATGTATTGCAGTTTTTAATGGATGATATGGGTCATCCTGAATTTAAAGACGCTGGTGCTACTATAGAGTTTATAAGATCAATGGATGACATTTTTGATGTATTGAATTCACGCAACCCATTTGCTGGCAAGTATAGAGCCCCAATGAAAATAGCCAATGAACAAGTATGGAGGCCAATTTAAATATTTGGCACAATTGAGCCACGTGTATGGGGACTATTTATATGTTTCAAAAAACAAAAATCCAATTATAGGACTGACTGTAACAATTAAATCTGTTATAGGGATTTATGATGATTATGTAAAAAATGAGAGAATTAAATATCTTCTGACTTACAAGTTAAGTCAGGACCACCTGAAATTGTTTTTTGGTGTGTAAGGTAAAGTTAAAAAGTAATTATTAAAAAAATTATTTCAGATTTTCTAAAAGTTCTTGTATTTAAATGCAAATATGTTATTGAGTTAAAGGTAACAAATATCAATTAATATGACCTGTTTTGTTGTAGAATGAAGAACTGTTGGAGTAATAACCCTACTGCCTTCCAGTTTTATTACACATTCAAACGGTTAATGTTGAAGCATAATGTCAAAAATGTAAAAGGAAATTGTTTAGAGCTGGACAATACCCAATTAATTTTTAATTCAGACAGTCTAATTTCTTCTGAATTATTAATGGATAATATTTCTCTTATAAAAAAGTATAGTATCGATATCAATGACTTGGTTTCAAATACGGAAGATTTTCACGGCATTATAAAATTTATACCTTCAGTGTCTGATCTGTCAGAAAATCCTGTGGCCTATGTTGCAGGTTTTGTCGTGAAGTCTTTAAAAAAAATTGTTCGGTGTGAAATTTGCAACAGTGTTTTAGAGAGTTTGGGCAGTTCTACAAATATTAGGTATTTAAAATTATTAAATGCCAAAAATTGGGGACAAGTCAGCGGCTTAGTGAAACCATCCAAGGATGTGGTTAAAATTTGTTATTTTTTGTAGAAAAAAAAATTCGGCAAATTTTGCATTTAACTAACAATTGTATGCCTGCCGAAGTAAACTTTTTTTATAAATTTGTTTTACAAGTTTGAGGATTTAAACAATCACATATTTGATATTTCCATGTATGACAATAGTCATAAAAGTAAATTGATGAACTTAATTGTAAAAATATACAGCAAAATTAGATTTTATAATGTAACTAAAAACAAACGGAAAATTTAAGGGGAGATTTAAAACGAAAAAAATTTACAAAATTAATTCTTTTTATTCATCAGTAGACAATAATGGTAAGAAAATAAAAGGTATTTTGTTAAAATTAGTAATTATGATTTATTTGAATATATTTAACATTAAATATAAAAAATCCAAAATTAATTTAGTGCAAGCACCTGTATGAGATAAAAAATTGAGAAGCTTGTAATACATAAGTATGTTTTTCTGTTTTTCAATAGTTTTAAATAATTTTAGTGCATCATTAAAAATTCCAATATTAGAATATATTACTTTGATTTATTTTTACATAAATTCAGACTGTAAAATACTTCTGACATTAGGCAACAATAAGTTATCCCCCATGTTATTAACACGTTAATCGCCCAAACACAAAAATATATTTTTTCCCCCTGGGCCACAATATATTATTTTCAATTGGTTATAGTATATGTTAGCAAATAATATATATTATTATAAAAAGTGATTTTGGTCACTTAAAAATAAGAAAAAAACATTTTGAAAATGAGAACCGACATTTGGTTCTCAGTGCCCCAACATAGTTTTAGCCGTGTGACCCGTATGTGGATTCTCGCATTTACGCATGTTTCAACTCGCTTTATATGCTTGATGCAGTCCATAGTCGCGCGTTCATCGCAAATGTAGTGGCTTAGACTATTCCGACACTTTGTTAGAGGTAGGGCTATAAAATATGAGTGGTGAATACGAGAGAACTCAGCAAAATTTGCAAAAATTGTGGAATGAAATACTGTCCGATTCCGAGGAAGAACCGTTTGATGGTGGTTCTTCAGATGAATACGAACCCGATTCTGATAGCGAAAAATCTTCAGATGACGAAATACCAAGAGCAAAAAGAGGGAAGAGGTGAGATTCACTTTATTTCTAACGTTATATTTTCGGATATTTAGCTTATTTTTTTTGTGGAAAATAAAAACTTTTTTGAATTATGGAAAAACTGATTGTGACATCTCGCTTATTTTTTATTTTTTGCTGACATTATTTATAATATATTAGTATAACTAAATATTTTAAATTTTTATGTTAGGAAGTATTTCTAAAAAAGATGAATCCAGCCAAAACGACATGGTTGTAGTTCCTTCAACATCTAGAGGATCTCCTCCTCATACAAAATCAACCGTAGCTGATATTATTGAAGCGGTGATAAATAAATACTGCACCTTGGAAGACAACGAGAATGAGGAAAATGAAGATCCAGAAGACATAACTTGGTCAAGAGTTACGGATGCGTCTCTCAAGCATTTTGATTTTCTGGTCGATCCAGTAGGCCCCATAGATACAATAAGGGAAACTTACTTAGTAAAAAGTCCCGTCGATTTCTTCAATCTATTTTTCAGCAACGATGTGGTACATCTTATTGTTACTGAAACAAACCGCTACGCTCAACAAAAAATCAGTGCAGGCATTCAACAAAAATCTCGACTTCAAAGATGGATGGACACTAATGAAGATGAAATAAGGATATTCTTTAGTCTTTGTTTGTGGATGGGCTTGGCAAGATTTCCGAAAATGGTAGATTATTGGAGAAAAAGTAATTTATACTCGAATGAGCTCTCCAAGAAAATGCCACGAAACCGCTTCGAATTACTTCTCCGAGTACTTCATTTTAGTAATAATGAAGACGCTATTGCTGGTGATCGCTTAGCCAAATTAGGCCCTTTATTGAAACTATTGAATGATAAGTTCAAAGAAGTATATATTCCAGAACGCGAAGTTTGCATTGACGAAACCTTAGTCCCATTCAGAGGTCGCCTTGTATTCAAACAATATATAAAAAATAAGTGTTTCAAGTTTGGTATAAAACTATACAAAATTTGTTGCAAAGAAGGATATACTTATGATCTAAAAGTTTACTGTGGAAAGGATAAAGATCCAAATGTTAGTGCATCAACAAAAGTCGTTTTGCAACTTATGGAACCTTTGCTTGATCAAGGTAGGATTCTATATACTGACAATTTCTACACAAGCGTAACTCTTGCTCAGGAGCTTCTAAGGCGAGATACTCACTTGGTTGGCACGCTTAGAAAAAACCGAAAATTGAATCTCATTGAAGTAAAAAATGTAAAGCTTCAAAAAGGAGAGATAATTGCGAGATAACATAATGGAGTAGTTGTTCTAAAATGGCAAGATAAGCGGGATGTACTTTGTCTAAGTACCAATCATATAGCAGAGACAACAAACGTCAGGAGAAGAGATGAAGACATTGCCAAACCTACTATTATTTGCGATTATAACTAAGCAAATCCTTCATTGATCTATCAGATCAATTGAATGCTTATTCAACACCTCTAAGAAAGGGAATAAATGGTACCGTAAGCTCGCGTTTGAGCTACTATTAGGAACATCCTTGGTAAATGCATATATTCTCTACAAAAATGTAACCAAGGGTAATATATCCATCACTGGATTCAAGGAGCAAATAATTGAGAGTGTATTGAACGTCGATACTGTAAAACCAGCTAAAACCGAACAGCACGTTTTAGAGGTTCCATCTAAAGATCGCCGTAGATGCGTTGTTTGCTATGAGAAAATAAGTAACGATAAAGGTCGGAAAATAGCACAGTTGCAGGCACCAAAGTCAAGATTTCGCTGCCTAGAATGCTCCAAATTTTACTGCTTATCATGTTTCTTTGATATTAATAAATGTCAGAAATAGTTTATAATACTTACATACTTTTATATTTTTCTGTACCTATTTGATGTAGTAATAAAGTAATTTTTTTATAACATTTCTATTTTGTATCCTATTCACAACACCGAACTAAATGTTACAGTAGGGTTGCCATCCGTCCCGGTACGCCGGGACATGTCACCAGTTTGGAATGTCTGTCCCGGTCGTCCCGGTTGATCTAGAAAATGTCCCGGTAACGTTCGCTCGCGCCGCGCTGGCGCGGACACGAGTCAGATCCCACCCCCGAGCTCCACCCGTTGACGCAATATGTGCTTACCTAATTACCTACCTAGTTCAGTTCTAATCAAGCAAGCGAGCCGCGGTGTCATTTATGCGTGCGCGTGCAGCAATTAGACGCGTGACAAAATTAGAAAACTGACTGGACGAGACGAGTGATTTACAGATTAGGAGGTATTTTAAATACAGTATTTACGATGCCAAAACGTAAGTATCATTTCTCAGATGATTACACGAAACAGTGGTCGTTTATTAAGAAAGGCAGAAGTGAATTCGAAGCGCAGTGCACAATATGCAATTTATTTATTTCCGTAAGCCACAGTGGTAAAACTTCAGTACAGGACCATATTAAATCCAGTGGGCATAAGTCTAAGATTTCGGCGGCCTCTACTTCACATGATATTTCATCATTGATGGTTAGAGAAAACACGCCAGAAGATACTTTAGTGTGTGCGGCAGAATTAACAACGGCTTATAAAGTTGTCAATCACCATCAGTCATTTAATTCACTGGACTGCAACACAAAATTGAACCCTGTCCTGTATCCAGATTCAAAAATTGCTGCGAAACCGCACGAACAAAAGCTACAGCAATAATAAAAAACATATTGGCACCACACTCTGTGCAAAAGACAGAAGAAGAACTTGAGAAAATTCCATGTTACGGAATTTTAACTGATGCAAGCAATCACAATGCTGAGTTTGTTTCCCCTTCTTATTCAGTATTTCTCAGAAACCGATGGCATGCAGTTGAAGTTGCTTAAACTGGATTCGTTGGAAAACGAGACATCAGAAATTATTGTTACTTTCTGCATAAATACACTGAAAAATTTAAATATTCCTTTGGAAAAGCTAATGGCATACAGCGCAGATAATACAAATACAAATTTTGGGGGACGAGACAGGCAAGGGACGAACAACGTTCACTTCAAACTGAAATCGAAACTTTCGAAAGGCATTGAAGGCATTGGTTGTCCTGCTCACATTCTACATAATACAGCATCCACATCTGCTGACGTACTTTCTATTGATGTGGTGTCAATAGTACTCAAGATTTACAAGTATTTTTCTATATATACAGTACGGAATGAACGTCTTCAATCTTTTTGTGAGGCAGCTGATGTAATTCATGCTAATTTACAATCCCACTCAAGAACGAGATGGTTATCATTGTTGCCGGCGATTGAACGTATTCTGAAACTATGGGAACCACTAAAAGAATGTTTTTTTGCAGAGACCAGACCACCCAAAGTGATAATCGATTTCTTTAACAACCCATTATCACAAGTTTACTTTCTGTTTTTACATAGCCAATCATTTTTATTCGAGACACAAATAAAGAAAATAGAGAAATCCAACATAACCATCATCGACGTCAAAGAACTCATAAACAGTCTTGAGAAAACTCTGTCAGAACAAGCTGCAGGCAAGTTTTTAGGAATCCAAACAAAGCTTGAATATGACAAGATAAAAAATATTCCTCAGCATTCAGATTTAATAAAATTATTTGACGAAGAAATTAATCTTTATTACAAAACTTCTCTGGAATACTTAAAACAATGGAGTTCTCCCCTGACAAAGTTTGAAATATTTTCATGGATGAATCTTGCTGACCCACCACAATGGCAGGATGTTGAAAAGACAGTGAATTATTTACAAGAGAAAGGAATTGTTATTAGCGACGGCGTATTTGAAGAAATATAATACCTCAAAGACTTTGTAGAAAAACGAAGGGATAATGAAGTTTGGACCAGAAAAGCCATGCACGAAAAATGGTTAACTTTCTTTCAAGAAAGTGACGTTTTAGAAAGGAAACAGACCTTAATTTTGATGTGCCAATACTTATACGCAATTCCTGGTCACAACGCCAATGTGGAAAGAATATTTTCTTTGGTAGTTGCACAGTGGACTAAAGAACGCAATCGCCTTCAAATAGAAACAGTCGAAAGCATAGTTCAAACAAAATTCAATTTTAATATGACATGTTCAAAATTCCATAAGTACGTTATGGGTAAACTCCTGACCTGCTGCAGAAAGTGAAGAAATCTGAGAAATATAATTAATTAGTGTTTGGTGTCGACTATATTATTTTATGATTTATGTGAGAGGTAAAGTTTAATAAAGTTATATTGTAACTTGAATTATTTTTAATTTTTTACTAGGATATTTTCGAGTTATCGTCCCGGCCAGTGGCGTATCATGACCACAAAAAGTAGGGGACACATGCCCATGCATTTAAAAATTTCCTCTCTTCGTGGAAAAACTAGAAGTTTTAAATTAACGGTTAAAAACCAAAAAAAAGTGGAGGGGCCCGGGCCCCCAGGCCTCCCCGAGCATACGCCACTGTCCCGGTCAGTAACTGGACTTTTATGGCAACCCTATGTTACAGGCTCAAATTTTTTTTAGGACCGCCAGGCCCTAGATTTTGATATCCCATAGGCATCAACGCAATACGTGACCCGTACAGCGGTTCACAGAGCCTAAAGCTATTGCAAGTAGTGAAGCCCATATGTTGGGTCACACGGCCCCAGTTGCCATTTAATTTGAGAACCAAATGTCGGGTCACATGGCGATTAACGTGTTAATCTTTGATTTGCATCACTTTGAAAAGATGGAATTCTCAAATTATCAAGTCTAGCTCTAGTTTTATATTGTGGTACCTAGTTCAGGCTTTTTGTGTATAAAAAAGTGCAGTAAAAGTTTGTAGTGTTTATCGATTATTTTTTTCTCATTTTTACGTTGCCTGATAAAAATGTAATTAATGTATCTAGTTGCTGTATTGTCTATTATAAGGTTTATAATCTAGAAGGCTTGGCAGATGCAGATTCCATCTTCGGACAATTTACCTCCAAATGGTAACATGAAAGGTTATCTGTTTAATTGTAAGCAAGAAATCATAATCTGATAAAATGTAAAAAGTGTCACACATAATTTTGTTAACTCCAAACGCAACTGCCCCCTATCTTGCAAAAATTTATTTGTAGCAAATATCACTAAATCAAAACCATCTAGAATGTCAGAATACAGGAAAATCTCGTGACTTTAGCACGACGAAATATTAATACTAATGTAAGTTTTATGCTATATCTCCCTTAACAATATCTTTTAGAACCATGTTTACTCGAACCTTTTTATATTTTTTTTATACAGAATTGCGTCTAAAAATGTATGAAACAAAATATTGTATAGGCTCACTTTTATTGTCTGATTAATTTTAAACTTGAACCGGTCCTGTCCAAATTCGAACCGTTATGCGCATGACCTCCGACACTCTATTTTCTCCTTGTGGTTTCACTTTTGATGTATGAAATCGCCTTTCTATACTATTTCTATGCTCGGAGTATAATTGGTTGAAATCTCCCTACCTACTACATATTTTTGAATCTACCTCATTCGATGAAAACTCTGGACCAAATATAGCAGTAGGTGAATCACCGATTGAAACTTTCCTTCAAATATTTGATGAAGATTTTCTGCTTATCATCGTTAACGAGTCTAATAAATACGCTCAACAACAGAGCACCATGTTAGAATTAACTACAGAGGATCTTAAAGCATTTATAAGTTTGCTTGTTATTATGGGTTTCAACAATTTACCAAGCGTTTATATTGATCATATAAATTTTCAATCAAAACTGATTTCTGTCATAATGCCGCTAAAAAGATTTCTCAAAATTCTGAGATTTTTACATATTGCAGATAATTCACAGATGCAAAAAACGGGAGAATTCACTTTGACAAACTGTATAAGGTAAGGCCTTTACTTTCGCGACTGAATAATAATTTTAGAAACTCATACAATGCACCGAAAAATATGTCCGTTGATGAAAGTATGGTTGCCTTTAAAGATAGAACACATCTTAAACAATATATGCCCAACAAACCAATAAAAAGGGACCTCAAAATATGGGCATTTTCTTGCTCTGAAACAGGATATTTACTAAATTTTATATAAAGGATGGTCCATTTGGAGAGAAAGTGGTATTAGAATTGACTCAGCCATTCACGGGCAAGAATCACTGCGTTTATTTTCATTTTTTTTTGACCTGTCATCAAAACTACTGGATCGAAAAATATTTGGCTGTAGAACGATGAGAACAAACCGAAAATATTTTCCTAGTGAAATGTAAGCCAGCGATAAAAGTTTACAGATCGATTAGTTTGATACCGTTGGGACCAGCAATATATCCGTAAGTGGCGAGATAGAGGCAAGAAAAATGTAGTGGTTGCTAGAACTATCCATAATACCACTGAACGATCCACTGTTCAGCGTAAGACCAAAGAACGTAAAAAAAAGTTACAATTGAGTGTCCAAAAGGAATTGACGATTATAATCAAGACATGGGTGGAGTGGACTTATTTGACCAATTTTATTCATGCTACATTTCCTGGCTAAAGTTATTTTATTATTTTCTGGATGCAGCTTATTAAAAAATAATTCTGAATCATTTGTTTTATAATATTTTAATCTCATAATGATACAGCAATGGAACAATATTACTAAACAATATAACGAAAAACTTAAATTATATGAAGACCCGGACTGACGCCATTATTCGAGTTCTCTCTTATCTAACCACCTACTTTGACAGTCTTGACACAATGTCTCGCGAAGCTGCACTTATTGGAACCATTAAACTACGGAATACCCTCAGACACCGTAGCGTTGTTACGCTTTACTAAAAAGGCAGTCGCTTCTAAAATAATGCTTTTTAACACAGCTATTGTTAACTCATATATTCTTTACAAAATATCAATGACTACACTGAGCAAAATGCTCCTATTATATGATTTTGCTGTGTTTCAAAATCAAAATCAAATAATCCTTATCGAGTGCATAATTACAGTGGCAAAGATGGTTTTGCTAAACACATCTAATAATCATTATTAGATTAAATGTTACGATTATCTGAAATTCCACTTATTGCGTTATACATTTCACTTAATAATGGTTATCCAGCTCTTAATTGTAATTATTTCTATCACTACCTACCATTATTCAGCAAAAATAAAATTGATCCCCTCAATTACCACAATTAAGTTCTTATATAGCCGTTATTAAAATATATGAGTATGATTTCAGAAATTAACAAACCATATTGGATTGCGCAAGCTACAAGCCATCACCGCGGCTACTGATTGGTCGATATATCTCACCACTATTTACGACGTCATCCGTAATCGCCATTATTTTCTGTAAGTTGTTCACTAGAGAGTAGAGAGCGAAGCAGTGTTCCCAACTTGGTGTATTTTTCACCAAAACTGGAGAATTTCGGTGTGCCAAAGAGAATTTTTAGAAGAGTTTGAGGATGTTCTAAAAGCTGGTGTATTTCTTATTTCATTTGGAGAATATCTAGTGACATTAATATCGATTTCCATTTGCAAATTTTAAAACCAGTGCCAGTGCAGAAAAAACTAAAATTTATATTCTGTTTTTATATGCAGAAAAAAGAAGACGAGAATGCACTCAGTGCGCACTTCTTTACAAATAGAAATCGCTATGGGGTCGCCGCTCATAGTCGCCGCCAAGCGCAAACCAGCACCTAACCTAACCCAACTTTTTCATTACTTTGTGTTTGCAATTTGCAATGTTTATGTTTGTATTGTTTGCTCTGTTACCTCAGTTCAAGTTCACAGTTATCTGAGTAACTGCCGACTGCCGCCTGTGTTGATAAATAATCCCATCCAAAGACCAAAAGTAATTGCATTTTAATATTTAAGATCTCTTTGTTTAAAAATAATTTATATTTTTTTAGTGCCTAATTACACACAAAAATATAGAGGTGAGTGGGAAAAGCTGCCAGAAATGAAAGGTTGGCTACAACCATGCACTACAGACTACACCAAAGCGTACTGCAAGCAGGGGGGGATATCGCGCATGGTGTCATGGCGGCGCTGACGTCATGCGTAGAGTTAGTAGAGTTGGCGCGAAATAAATATCATAAGACAGACACATGTTGCAGTAGTTTGGGAGTCGTTTATAGTGATTTATAAGGTATTAAACAGATATTTGTATTATATTATGTTGTAAACTTTCTTCTCTCTGAGTGGTTTTAGTAAAAAACTTTGAAAAATTGCGGTAGGGATGTAACAGTAACAATTAAAGCAAAGGATTCAAGAAAGATATTATGGTTTTTCGCTTTCTTGGACAGTAAGAGCTCAGTCAGAAGTGAGGAGTGGTCCAAGGGCGGCTCCAGCGGAGGCTCAGGGGAGCATGCCTTTCCCTAGATTAAAATTCTTAAAATCCATGAGCCTTTTATTAAAAAAATATACTAAATAGGCAATTCTACCCTCCTTCCCAAGAAAATTTGACATGGAGCAGCCCTTGCAGTGGCTTGTAATCCTGCAAATAAATTTTCATATGTATTCCAAGCACTTTCAACCTTCCAATTATAAGAGGAACCTCTAATCAGAACTTCAGATTAGTTCAATCGCAACTTGGGACTTCTAAACTGGAGGATAAAAATATAAGCATAAGTGAAATTGTAAATGTCGCAAAAAAAAAGAAAATTTCGACTTGTACTTGATGAATGAATTAAAAAAACTGTCAGCAACTTTGTCCAGGAAAATAGCAGACATTTTATTTTAATTTTGTACATGCACCCACAATATGTTATGTAGCTGTTATTTGTATTTCGTACATTTTTTTATGCTTTGCATTATATTATATGAACGTCTGCATTATATGAAAAAACATATTTTTT